CATGTCACCACCACCACCACCACGACCTTGTGCATCCCAAGGACCTGACTGACGTGAGCAACATGGTTCTGTCGAACGGCGGCCTCGACCCCTGGCGCGCGGGCGGCGTTGTCACCAACGTGTCTGACAGCGTGGTGGCGGTGGTGATTGAGAGCGGTGCACACCACATCGACCTCATGTTCAGCGACCCGGCCGACCCGCCAGATGTCATTGCGGCTCGCAGGCTGGAGCTGCAGCACATCTCCCGCTGGATCAACCAGCACAACCAGCAGTAGCTGTGGTGGCAGCGACCGTACGTGGCTGCTGCTGCTGCTGCTGCTGTGTGTGTGTGTGTGTGTGTGTGTGTGTGTCTCTGTCTGTCTGTCTCTGTGTGTTTGTGTTTTGCGCCTGTGTTTGTCTGTGTGTGTGTGTGTGTGTGTGTGTCTCTGTCTGTCTGTCTGTGTGTGTTTGTGTTTGTGCGCCTGTGTTTGTCTGTGTGTTTGTGTGTGTGTGTGTTGTCTGTGTGTGTGTGTGTGTGTGTGTGTGTGTGTGTTTAGTTGTGTCCGCTCACATTCCCTTCCCTTCCCATGCGTGTGAAAGGTGTCATGTCACGTGACATTCTTGTCCGTTATTCAATGCTGCCAACAAAGACAGAATAACCAGCAGCAATACAGAAAACGCATGCCAAGACAACAGTGTTGGCACTATGGCATTTGAAGGAAGCGTTTTCAGAAACACCGCGTGACGAACAGCAGTGTCACACGCACGCATACGCACAAACACACCAGATAAACACACACATACAGCCTCAGCGCTGCGGTTCCATGAGCCGGTGTGTCTGCAGCTGTTCGAGCGTCACCACCTCCAAGGTCTTCTCATGGCACGCCTCCAGCACGACAGGCGGTGCACATCCGGCGTCCAGCGCCTCCTTCCACCGCAGCACACACAGACACCACCTGCGTGTTGATGACCATGCACGCGTTGTGTGAGTTCGGACACAACCAAGCATGTGTGTGCATGTGTGTGGTGTGTGTGTGTATGTGTGTGCGTTTGTGTGTGTTTGTGTGTTTGTGTGAATGTGTGAGTGTATATGTGTGTGTGCTGCGTGATAGCGGAGGCAGTCACAGCATACAATGGAAGATGCAAGCACCCGCGCCATCATACCTGTCGCCTGGCTGGAGCCCAGGGAAGCCGAAATGGGGTGCAGGCGTCATCAAATCGTTCCCTCTCTCCTTGGAGTACTGCAGAAACTCCTGCGTTACCTGCAACAACCAAAAGAGCAAAACAGTCAAGAGACGCGACACATAAGCAGCCGCTTGCATTCTCGCACGCATGAACACAACCAACGCACGCACTCTGCACACATGGGTTCACACACGCACACACACAGAGTACAACGACACATGCAAATAGAGAGTGTGTGCACCCACACAGCACACACAGCACACATACATTCAGAAAGCACACACAACACACAACCACACACCCACACACCCACACACAACCACACATACATACAACCACGCATACACTCACAGCACACATACATTCACATAGCACACACAGCACAACCACACACCCACATACAACCACACATACATACAATCACGCATACACACACAGAGCACACAAACACAAACAAACCTGAGCGCAGACGGTGTGTCTGCCAAAGTCGTTGGGTCCAGTGCGACAGTAGCCGTCACGGTAAAACCCGGTCATGGGTGAACGACAGCAGGACTGCAACTCCGTCCCCAGCACATTCAGCACACGCCTCGCAGCCATCGCCTCCTCCGCCATGCCAGCCGCCACAAACAACACCGCTGCAAACAGCAACAACAACAACGCGCGTCGCATCCGCTGTGTCCTGCTTCTTTGCACTCACAGACAGTTGTGGGCTGCAACAGAGGTACGAAAATTCCTGGAAATCATTCACCATTCGTCCACAATCATCGTCATCCAGAGCGGCTGTTTGACGTCAGCGCTCACCAGCACATCTCTTGCCTCTTATCCCTCTTATCCCTCTTATCTCTCTGGCCTGTTGTTGTCTCTTGCCTCTAGCTTTGCTCTGCTCAAATCACAAAACAACAACGACAAAGCAGAGATGAGGGCCTGTAGTGCTGTGCTGGCACTGACGGTGGCAGCAACCCTGTGCGTCGTTTACTCGCTGCTGACGCTGACAACGGCATCTGTCGCCGCTGCAAACGTGCTGGAATCATCGCCACGCAATGCCATGAACCCTGTGCCGGCTACAGCGGACGTGCCGCCTGCGCTTGCCTGGCATGTGGCCAAGCTCATGCGCATCTCAGAGACCGAGGTTGTCTCGGCCATGGTGGGCGGGGCTCGCATGAATGTCGTCGACTTTACGGAGGACGTCGTGACAGATGCTGTGTGGCTGTACCTCGCAAACATCTTTGTGTGGTCGCGGTGCTTCGTGGATGACGCCAAACCCAAGCCGCCGCCGCTCCTGTTGCACTCCGCGGAACCCCTGGAGAACAACACCGTGCTCACCATGTTTGGAGGCGCCACCGCCAAGTCCGTCGTCACGGCCAACAACGCCACCGTGCTTGACTTCGAGACCAGCAACGACGTGTGGGAGATGCGCATCACCCCCTCCGCTGCCTTTGGCATCCAATACTCGCACCAATGCCACTGGACCAAGGCGAAGGTCACCGGTCCCGCGCCATCGCCCCGTGCAGGGCAGGCAAGCGCGTGGTACTTCCACTTCATGTACATCTACGGCGGCTGCAACAAGATTGGCAAGACCACGAGCGCACAGACAGTGGACTACTGCGAGGACGACGACCTACTCGACGACTTGTGGCGATACGATCACGTGAACAAGACTTGGCTGCAGGTGCCGATTCAAGGCGCTGAGGTATGCAAGGCGCCTAGCCGCCGGTCGTTATCTAGTGTTGTCACATGCCCACGGAAGCATGTCTATTCAAGAACGCACGCGCGCACACCACCTACGTGCACACGCACACAGAGACATGTTGCACACGCGCACACCCACATGCACTTGTATTCATGTTTGCTGTGGTCTTTTCTTGTCCGCATCATCACCAATGCCGCGTTCACATTCCTCATGCTCTTCCCTCTGATCCTCCTTGTGTCCCTTCCCCTTTGCTCTTCCTCGTTTGCACCCCCTCCCCCCCCCCCTTCCGCTCTCTCTCTCCCTCTCCTTTGTCTTTGCTTCAGGTGCCTGGGAAACGCAACCTGGGAAACATGTTCCACTTCCGCGTGGCCGGCAGTCTCAACCTCCTCATCACCTCCGGCTTCACCCCAGCATCGTCCTCCCCTGACATCTCCCAGCACATATACACGCAGGAGGCGTTCAGCTGCGTGCCTGCACCCGACCTGTCCGTCGCCACGTGCCAGCGCGTGAAGGATGTGCCGCGAACTTCAAATCGCGGCGCCGTCGTTGTGCAGTCGGAAACGCAGGCACTCTTCCTTGGTATTCGCCCCGCTCCCGCAGACAACACACTCAGGGCAACCACATACACGTGGGTGGGCGCCAACGCCACCCACAACATTCTCGTCCAAGACATTCCCACGCTCAACGAACTGCTGCTGCCATCCATCGACGGGTGTGTGTGTGTGTGTGTGTGTGTGTGTGTGTGTGTGTGTGTGTGTGTGTGTGTGTGTGTGTGTGTGTGTGTGTGTGTGTGTGTGTGTGTGTGTGTGTGTGTGTGTGTTAGAGGTATTGCTCCTCCGCCTGTTCGTGTTACACCATCGTTGCCACTGCGTCTCCCTCCTCCTCTTGCCATCCCTCGTGCCTCACGTGCCCCTTGCGCGGCTACCTGACCTTGTAGAAGAAGCGCGAGGATGGCGTTCGTCTGCGCAAGCGTGCCATCCTCATGGGCTTCAACGGCGCCGGCTACTATGGCATGCAGCGCAACCAGGGCTTCGACACCATCGAAGAGGACCTTCTCTCCGCCATGCTCAAGGTGCGAACAAGCGAAGCTGGGCATTGTGTGTGTGTGTGTGTGTGTGTGTGTTTGTGTTTGTCTGTGTGTGTGTGTGTGTGTGTGTGTGTGTTTGTCTGTGTGTGTGTGTGTGTGTGTGTTTGTCTGTCTGTCTGTCTGTGTGCCCGCACATACATGTGTGTGTTGCTGCCGCCACCAACAGCAGCATCGCGCTTAACCTCAGCTAACGACTCATTGCTCTCGATCCCTCTTTTGTTTGCGACATCAGGCCAACCTCATCCCCAAGGAAGGGTATGCCCGCCCACAGGCGATCCGCTTCCAGCGTTGCGCCCGAACCGACAAGAGCGTCTCCGCTGCTCGCCAGGTACGTAAATGTATTGTGTTTGTGTTTTCTCCTGTGTATAGGTGTGATGAGCCCATCGCTCCACCGGCCCATCGCTCAGTGTTGACCCTGAAGCGCGGTGGCCTTGCTTTCTCTTGTTCTTACACCCATCTCATCTCTGCGACTTCCCTCTCCCGCGCCAGATTGTGTCTCTGGAGATGTTCCCCGATGAGGATGCTGTATCCAAGATGAACGCCCTCCTCCCGCCGGGAATCCGCGTCTTTGCCGTCATCCGCTCAACCAAGGGCTTCAACGCAAAGAAGGCGGTGTGTGCATGTGTGTGCATGTGTGTGTGTGTGTGTGTGTGTGTGTGTGTCTGTGTGTCTGTGTGTGTGTGTGTGTGTGTGTGTCTGTGTGTCTGTGTGTGTGTGTGTGTC